ATTTCAAAAAAATTGGAAGAAATATATGTGGGAATGGGATATCGGTGTATATGGCAACACTAGGTAGATGAACGAAGGAACGAATAGACAGAGGACGAACTAAAGAACGAACAGAAGACAAGGTATCTATCAGGACAGTCTAACATTGTATGTCGAAGCGCGCACAACACAGCCGCCAAACTGTTGCATAGTAGTATGTCGAAATTAATGTACAAGTGAACATTTGAATAAACGCGACTCTATTTAAATAGCCAAGCGAACCGTCTTTTCCTACAAATTGGGGGCTCGCCCGGGATGGCGAACGCGTGCGTTATTAAAAAACATAAAATAGGAAAAAGTGACTATGTGCCTGCGGGCAAATCAAAGTGGAAAAGTGATTCTGCCGAAATACGCGGTAGACAAACTAGAGTGCGCGCAACTAATCGCATGCGAAATAGAAACACATGCAAAGGCAATTCGATTTGCGTAAGGGCAGACAATCTGCAAAATAAGGCGCAGAAAGTAGTGAATTGTGCAAAACGTGGTGTACGTACTGTACGCAAATTCGCATAACGCGAAAAGTTGGGGTGCTCCAAAGGACACAGTACCGTTTTACCGGTGAATGACAGTTATTTTAAAACCGGCGTCCAAGTGGTCGAACCTGAAACAACAAAAGACGAACTAAAAAGTTAAAAGCAAGACGAATTTATATTAAGTGCTAAAAACGTCAGCCGAAAAGAGACAGAAACGTATTTGCGTACGCCTTGGGTGCTGGCGTGTATATCGCGCGGAGCAGCGCGTTGGAAAGCGGTTCAGTTAGCCCGAGAAGCAACAGCATATTTACGCACTGTTTGTGTACTTGCGCGTGTATCTCCACGAACAGCAATGCGTCGAACAGCAGTTTTGTAGCCGAAAGAGCAGACAGCATATTTGCACACAGTTGGTGCACTTGCGCGTATAACTCTACCAAGAGCAACGCATCGAACAGCAGTTTTGTAGCCGAAAGAGCCGACAGCATATTTGCACACAGTTGGTGTACTTGCGCGTATAATTCCACCAAGAGCAACGCATCGAGCAGCAGTTTTGTAGCCGAAAGGGCCGACAGCATATTTGCACACAGTTGGAGCACTTGCGCATATATCTCCATTAAGAGTAACGCGACGAACAGTAGTTTTGTAGCCGAAAGAGCCGGAAGCATATTTGCACACAGTTGGTCCACTTGCGCATATGTATATCTCCATCAAAAGCAACGCGTCGAACAGCATTTTGTAGCAGAAATAAACGACAGCATATTGGAACATTGGTTACCTATGTACTTGCGCGTATAACTCCATCAAGAGCAACGCGTCGAACACCAGTTGGTAGCCGAAATAAACGACAGCATATTTGCACATTGTTTACGTATGTACTTGCGCGTACAACTCCATCAAGAGCAACGCGTCGAGCAGCAATTGGTAGCGGAAAGAAACGACAGCATATTTGCACATTGTTTACGTATGTACTTGCGCG